GCTCTTTGTGACTGCTAATCATCTTCATGAGTCCACGCTGTTTAGCCACTTTTTGTTGAATGCATGTTTTTTTACACTCGTTTCTCTGCATATTGATACTGTTGGGGCCCCCAAGCCCGGCTGGGCTCAATTGAGGCTCTGGCATGCCTCTCTGTCTAATGTTGCCTGTGGCCCCTTATCCAAGTACTTTCCGCAAGATGCCACGTTATCTATGAATTTCAGATTTTTCCTTTGCTCTTATTTTCGTTATGACTCACCCGTTTTGGAAGCGGACACTATAGGGCCTGTTTGACATTTTTCCTTGGCCTTGATCACACTTATTACTGCGGGCCTGCACCCCACTCTAAACCTTTTTTTTTATTGTTGTCTTGACGAGTCTGTGGATGGTGTGGTTCCCCTTCCCTTTGACCTGTATTTTTGGTTTGGACATTGTCTGCAGGAAACCAGGGTCTCATAATCATCTGCTCTGCAGTTCCTTACTACCCCACTTTTTTTTATACAGTACTGCCTCGACCACGAAGAAACATAGGGGAGTGTTAATTGCTTTCAGAAGCAACCTTTATCTTAATTGTTCCCTGGAGACTGAGGACCCTACAGGCAGATATTGACTTTTAGAATGCATCATCTGGGTTCCGGAAGTTACACTCGTGTCATATTATGCTGCTAATAGGTTTTCAACACAAATTCTTCTCCCACTTATGCAAAGTGGTCTCCCAACATCAGAAAAATGTTTTTTTGCTGGGCGACTCTATAACCCTGAACCCCACTTTAGATGGGCACTATGCACAAGTGGCTACCCCTTCTCATGACACTGGGCAAGGGGCTCAGTGTTGTATTCAGTTCTTGTGCTGCCCTGGGCAACACAAAAATTGGGCAACCCCCAGGCAACACTCGATCACCCGCCACCACCCTCCCCCACTGCTGCCAACAGCCAATTAAGAGAACTAATCTGCACAAGAAGCAGACGGCCCTCCCTGCACCCTCCAGCAGTGTGCGGCCTCCTCACCAGGTCCACATTCCTGCCATTTCTTCCGGGGGGCAGCGCCGCCCAAGGCAAATGCCTGTAATATTCTTCCCGTTGTACAATACACCTCCCCAACGGTGTATTTACAGTGAGGAAAAACAAGGCATTTGCCTTACAATAAATATGCCACTGGGGAGGTGTATTGTACATTGGGAGGTGTATTATAAATCGGTACGTAGAGGTGTACTGTAGATTGGGAGTTGTATTGTAGGCATGTAGTGGGGGATATGCACTGTAGATTGGTAGATGGGGAGGTGCATTATAGATCAGGTGTATTGTAGGAAGGGAGGTTTACTGTAGATTGGGGGTGTACTGTAGATCAGGAGGTATATAGTAGTCAGTACTGGGGGGGTGCATTGTAGATTGCTGGGTGGGGGTGTACAGTAGGTGTACTGCCCGCACTGGGTGATATGGAGGAGGTGTACTGTAGATTGAGGTGGAGGAGGTGTATTATGGATTTGTATGTAGTTGGGGAAGATGTATTGTACGTCAGGGGTTAGGATTTTACTCTTGGTCTACAATACACCCCCCAATTACATAAAGATCTATAATACACCCCGCACACATTACTTGGGGGAGGTGTATTATAGATTGGTACCTCCTGGGCATGCTTACTCAGCTCCTTCTCCTGCTCATACTGTGTGCTGAGCTCCTCGTACCTCTTCATACAGGTTGCCTCTAGGCTCTCCAGCACAGCCACCACCAGCAGCATCGACTCCTTCACTGCCTCCCCCTCATAGCGGCGGATCAACTGCTCCATCTATTGGTAGAGAGAGGCCACCAGAGTGGAGACCTGCCCTCCTCCTTTAGTTCCATCAATGAAACCGGCTGGGACCACCACTCTACCACTGCCGCCATCACCAGGAAAACATTGGGTCGCCTGACATGCCCCCCCCCCCCCCCCCCCCCCCCGCCAACACCCAATTACAGCCACTAACCTGCAAAAGAAGCAGCTGGCAATCAATGCACCCTCCAGCGTGCAGCCTCTTCACCAGGTCCCCGTCCATGCTACTTTGGGAAGGGAGGGTGCCTAGGCAAACGCCTTGTTGCCTCGCGGTAAATATGTCGCTGAAGAGACTCATATGTGCCCACTTCTGCACACCTTTGGCCTTGTAGATGTATGGAGGGAGCTTCATTCTACTGCTCAAGATTTACTTATAGTGGCTTAGTGGTTAGCACGTCTGCCTTGCAATAAATGGGTCATGGGTTTGATTCCCGACCATGGCACCTCCTGCATGGAGTTTGCATGTTCTCCCTGTGCTTGCGTGGGTTTCCTCCGGGTGCTCCAGTTTCCTCCCACACTTCAAAGACATGCTGGTAGGTGAATTGGATCCTGTCTAAATTGGCCCTATGTGTATGTATGAATCTATGTTAGGGACCTTAGATTGTACACCCCTTGAGGGTTAGGGACTGATGTGAATTGTTCAATATATATGTGTAAAGCACTGCGTAAATTGACAGCGCTATATAAGTACCTGAAATAAATATTCTAATCCACATAATCAGTTTCTGCAGAATAGACCACATGGATATGCTTTTACACAATCTTCCTCTGGTCTGTAAGGTCTTTATACCTTCCTCTCCCTGGTCGGAACATGACCCGTTGGAGAATAAATTAATCAGCCAGGTAATTCTGAAAACACCTCCTGATTTTTCTGCAAGAACTCTCTGAAATCCTGAATTTGAATAGCAGACAGGGTATCTGACATCCCAGCCTCTGGTACACCTATTGTATGCGCCAAGTGCACCGTCTCACAGCAGAGGTCATCAATGCCTGTTATCAGTTTAATTGCCCTTTTCTGCACTCTCTACAGTTGGCATATTGAATTTCCCAAACTGTATTTCATTATGTAATAATTGTAACATGTTATGTCACAGACAGAAAAATAAATGCAATTCCTTTGAATGGCAACATATGAACATCAAAATGCAACAGTCAGAAAAAAAGCCTGAAAACTTTTATTTGCAAATATGTATCCCAGTTATCAAAGAGTATTTTTCTTTAGAATAGATGAAAGTAAACTGAGTGAGGGATACAGGAGATAATTCAGAAAGAAATAAGATGGTACAGGCTCTTTAAATAGTTACAGCAGTTGTGCATACAACAGGAAACAATATTAGAATTAACTTAAGACTAGACAATTGGTGGGCTATAAAACAAGATGACATACATCATGAAGCAAAGTCACCTGTTTGTTTGACTTGGAGAAAGGTAAGATGAAATACGGAGCATTTCATGGCAACCAATCAAAAAACAGATATTTGTAGAGTTTCAGATAAAACTTGTGGAAAAGTTTGAATGTTTGTAACATTTCCTCTCAATCCCTAACCCAGTGGCACAAAATGAGGAACAATCCCCCCAGTGGGGGCAAAGCTATAAAAACCTGACAGATATTCAGTCTATTGCTATCTGTGCCAGGTTTAAAAAATTTCAATACACTTTTTGTCGCAGTCACACCATGGTCAGGAAGTAAGGGGAAAATTTAAAAAAAGGATGCGACATCTACAAAAACATTAAGCATTCTAACCCCATTTTTACAAAATGGCAAACTTCAGCTTTAACTACTATCAACTGGGAAAGCGGATTTGGTTGGTAATTTTTACTGAACCAAAACGGCATTTGCATTAGATTACTAAATAAACAGGATTACTTGAAAGTTAATGCAGGGTGATAAAGGGACACATTTAATGCAATAGATTAGAACATACATTTCAATGAGACTAAACTGACAGATCGTTAATCAAGCAAAAAATAACATGTTTACATTTCTAATGTACATAGCTGTTTAAATACAAATGTAAATCACAGAGTCTTTGTAGTGTGTTGGACAATGGATGACACACAGACTGTCACCATTAAATGACCGTATTAGTGAAATCTTAGTTCTGTTAGTTAGACCTTAGGAGGAGAGTCTCAAGCTTTCTAATTCTACAGAGGGCAATCAATGGGCTATCCACAGCAGGTAACCCATGGAACCTGCATGTGCAAAATCACAACCTATATATGAATGCTCTCTTTTGAGCAGCCTTCAGATCACCACTAAAAAGCTTGGACTATTACAGTGACAGCTTACATTTTCTGGATATAAGGTACAGTATTAATTGAAAAGCCTTATGTATAGTTTGTATACAATACTATTCTCTGTCGGTATTATTCTCCAGTTTCTAGCCATCAGATAGTAATGGGGCTAGACTGTGTATTAGCTGAGTTAAGTATTTATTTACATGCTTTCTTATCCTATTTTATCTTTTAAGGCACATGCAGCACAAGCTACCAAGCTAAGGCTTCTGGGTAATCGGTTCCAAATTTCATTACCTGAGAAAATAGAAAAGGCATAGATTGATGCAGATTGTCACATATGCCATATTGAGTGAATATACAGTGAGGCAGGAACAGTTCAATAAAAATTAAATCAACCAGAACATGCTCAGATATATCACCCTAATACAGTGCCCCAAAAAAAGAACTGGTTGATTGCTCTAAAGTTGCTCAGATTGTCCTTTCCATTCTTCAACTTTTATATCCCTTTTTCTACGGTCAATACAAACAGTTCATGTTTTGGATACCTACATAAAATTCACTCTGGACATCATTCAGGGACCATAACACACAGTTTTCAGTAGAATGTATTGCATATATCATATTCTGGGGTCCAACAAAAAATCTATTTCTTGGGTGGCCCAGCCTACAGATTTCTCCACCTCTGACTATGCAAAGTTTCAAAGTGCTATTTTTGGCACATCTTTCCCTTTCGAAATCATATACTTTAAATGTGTTTTCATTTCACTAAACATGGAAGTCAAACTAACCTTTCTAAAACCTCAGTAAAACGTTTAAAAATTATAATACAATAAAACTTATAAAAAAATAGGCTAAACGTTACTCAACAACCTTGTCTAGCAATTAAAAAATTCTGACCTAAAAAATGTCAGTTAAAAATAAAATAGAATAAAATAATGTAAACGTAGTTGTAGGTCAGGGTTTGCTTTCCTGGAGCATGACGTGCACAAACAATGAAGCAGAGGGAAGAGGATCTCCATTCCGATTTAGTAGATGGATGTGACGATAGCCTAGGATAAAAACAACCAAATTGGGTAAATACCACTGGGAGTAACTAGATGAAAGTGAAATACATTTAACAATATAGAAACAAAACTGGATAGGTTTTAAAGGACAACTCTATCTAAGTCTAGGAAGTGCTGGTGGAGTATGGGAGAGGGTTAAGGCAGCATGGAAATCATATTCACTTCAGTTGTTTATCTTGTGCTCTGCTGTTGGAAAGTAGAGTTGAGCTTGGGCATTCTCCGAACTCATTTCCAGCCGACCTCCAAACTTGTGCTTTTTTTTTTCCTCCAGTGAGCTACAGGCTGTGTCATTCCCATTCCACAGCTCATGTAAACAGAGGTGGGCTGCAAGCAGGAATGACCTGTTCTGCAGCTCATTAAATGAAAGGATAATTCACCTTTGGGAACATGTTACATGTTTCACTTTTTTTAAGGGTGGAACATGTAGCATGTTCCCACTACTGCAGCCTCTCCCTGATCCAACAACTTTAGTAAAAGTGAGCCGGGGATTTTCTCCCTGAATTTGCGGTCACAATTAAAAAAAAAAAAAAAAAAAAAAAAAAAAAAAAAAAAAACATGCCCCGCCACATCATTCTTCACAGTATTCGGTTCATGGGAAAACAACCACAGTCAGCTATTGTGGCTGATGGCTTGTAGTTTTCAATGAACTACTGCAAAAAGATGTGCATTTATTTTTTTTTTTTTTTAAAAGGTGAATTTATCCTTTAAAGAAGAAAACAAAAAACGCAGGTTCAGAGTTTGTCTACAGATGAGGTCAGATGAGATTGGAAGACACTGGAGATCATCTCTACTTGAAAATCCAGGTCTAAACAGCTTAGAGATTTTGTCATCCGCAGCCTGTTTCTCACCTGGGTCTATGACACACAGAGAAATGGACCTTATACCATCTATGTATTTTGAGGATACCACAATTTCATGGCTAGTTTATTTATTACAGGTACTTATAGAAAACTCACGGTCAATCATTCATACACACATATACTAGGGCCAACTTAGACAGGAGCCAATTAACCTACCAGCATGTCTTTGGAGTGTGGGAGGAAATCAGAGTACCCAGAGGGAACCCACACAGGCACAGGGAGAACATGAAAACTCCAGGCAGGTAGTGCAAGAGTTATTTGTTATCTTGTAGTCCTGACAGGGGGAAGCCCAGAAATGGGACTAAAACTATATTTAGACTAATGAAAAAAAATCTGATTCTGTCCTTTTGAAAAATTTTGTACAAAAAGGGGTTATGCATAGTCTCTGTTCCAATATAAATACTTATCTACACAAGGGATTCAGCAACAACCTACCTAGTTTTTCCACACAGGGGGACAGAGGCTCAGGTTACAGGTATAAATCATTCAGACAAGACTTTGAAAAGGTTACATTAAAGGACCATCAGAGGTGGGACCATCAGAGGTGGGCAGACTTTACACATTCTACTGCCTTTATATCCCAACTGTAGGGAAAACTGTTCTTTAAATTGAATGGGGAAAGGTTATAACTTCTGCAAGTGTTCCATTTGGGATATTTTTCTGTGTGGTTTGAAATAAATAAAAGCTACAGTTTAATCAAGTAGAAGCTGCAGGTTGCTTGCCTACTACGAAAATCATCTAATTTTTTTTAGGCGATTTTATATTACATTACATCTGCTATGTATTTTCTATTATTAAAATGATATGCTGGTTGAATACAATTTTATTTTAGTACAGAGCACTGTTTATTTTTAAAGGAACGATCGTTCTTGATGTATGTTAATTTATAATATATAATATATGTAACACGTGTTTATACTCTATTACTACCTATTACTATACAACTATCTTTTGCCCTGATGAAGGCAACACCGATCCTGGATATTCATTGGCTGTCCTTAAAACGTTCAACGAACACTTTTACTGTATAAAGATAGTCCCATTTTAGAGTTTTCTTTTGGGCACCAGCACAGCACCTACACTACTGGTGGTGTACTCGCATTTCTTCAGGTTTTAAATACGGTTTGTCTCCACACAGAGAAATCTGTTCTCTTCCTGTTCTAAACACACCAGCTAGACAATACGTGGTGGAAATATACATCCCTGGGGCACAGAAATCAAGAAAATCCTGGCAGTGGTTAAAATTCTTTTTTCACTCTACAATAAAATATGGGCAGCACAGTGGCTAAATGGTTAGCACTTCCGCCTGGCAGTACTAGGGTCATTGGTTCGAATCCCAACCACGGCACTACCTGCCTGGAGTTTGCATGTTCTCCCTGTGCCTGCGTGGGTTTCCTCCGGGTACTCTGGTTTCCTCCCGCACTCCGAAGACATGCTGGTAGGTTAATTGGATCCTGTCTAAATTGGCCCTAGTATGTGTATGAATGTGATTTAGGGATCTTAGACTGTACGCCCCATGAGGATTAGGGACTGATGTGAATGCACAATATATATGTAAAGAGCTGCGTAAATTGACGGTGCTATAGAAGTACCTGAAATAAATAAATATACTTTTATAGCTGCATGTGTCCCTGTTTGGTCAGTGCTTCCAGTTCTAACACGAATAAAAAAGTGGCAAATTTTCTCTGACTTCCTATTATATCTGACAAATTAAAATAGACAGGAAGTATGGAGAAATCCCCTAAATGTGGACTCTGAGTCAAATTTCTGCAACTTTTTATTGCCTTCTAACCAAAAGAAAGTTTTAGCTGGAATTCGCTTTACGCAAGTCAAAATTTGGAAGCATTCAAACCCTAGGCTTCTGGAATAAGAAACAGATGGTGGCACACAAAATTGTAATAAAGTTCTTTGTTCTAAACAAAACACACTTCTTGGTTTAAATTGTACGATGAATATATTTGTACCTAGCTGTAAGCTGGTGAGAGGAACAGTGTATTGCCCCACAAAGTCATTTCTTGAAGAGGCATCAAAATCCTCCACGAGGAATCGCACCACAGTGAGGGCAGGCACGTCAATTTCAAATTCAAAGTGCTCATTCCACATTGGGTTGAATCCTAAAATAAACAGGGTAAGAAAAAAAAAACAAAAAAAACAGTTAGTGTCTGCTGACATACAATTCTAAAAAAGCAAAAAGCACCAAAATGTGCCTTATAAAAACATGGGCCCTTTTTAAATTGTTTATTCGAATATGTCAAAACCCAAAGCCCACCTCCTGTGTGTAACTATAATCCTTTCTTGTATTTAAAGAGATATTATATTGTAAAGCGCTGAGCAAACTGTTGGCGCTATATAAATCCTGTATAATAATAATAATTATAGATTCCAGAGAGAGACATCATATTACCCCGGTACAAATCATTAGTAATACCTCATCTGGAATATGCAGTTCAGTTTTGGGCACCAATTCACAAAAGGAACATTGGGGAACTGGAGAAAGTACAGAGAAGGGCAACCAAACTGATAAGAGGCATGGAGGAGATCAGCTATGAGAAAAGATTAGAGGAACTGAATTTATTCTCTCTTGAGAAGAGAAGATTAAGGTGGGATGTGATCAACATGTATACATACATCAGTGGTTTATATAGTGAACTCAGTGTAGTTATTCACCCTGAGGTCATCACAGAGAACAAGGGGTCACTCTTTACGTCTGGAGGAATAGAGATTTAATCTCCAAGTACGGAAAGGTTTCTTCTCAGTAAAAGCTGTAAAAATGTGGAATAGACTCCCTCAAGAGTTGGTTCTGGCCAGCTCAGTGGATTGCTTTAAAAAAAGGCCTGGATTCTTTCCTAGATACACAGAATATAACTGTATACTAACATTTATAGGTAAAGTTGATCCAGTGAATATCTGATTGACTCTTGGGGGATCAGGAAGGATTTTTTCCCCTACAGGAGCAAATTGGATCATGCTTTGCTGTGTTTCTTTTGCTTCCTCTAGATCAACGGTGGGTATAGGATTATAACTTTTTTTTTTTTTTTTTTTTTTTTTTTTTTTTTTTAACTGTATGGACTTTTGTCTTTTTTCAGGCAGAATGACTGTGGAAATGCAATTATTTTGGTAAATATAAACTGCTAAATACCTTGTCTCATCAGCAGTATATAGCAGTCTTGTGACTTCTATCAGTATCCAGCCGAGCACTACTTAATCTTGTAGGAGGAGTTTGCCATTCTCCTCCGACTGTCCTATGGGGCTGCAAGACCCCTGACCCTCTGTTTGAACAGTGCTTATTGGCCCTGTGCCAATCACATGCACCCTCCCACAAAAAAACTCCCTAGCAATACACAACAAACTGAGCAAGTGCAGGCTTGCAACTGCTGCTCTGTACTATGGCAGATGAATTGGGACAGTAAAAGGGGAGGATCAGAGAAGACAGGATCAAATATCCTTTTCACACAGTGCAGAGGATTAGCCCCTTAGGTTCCACAGTGAGTATAACCAGCATGCTTTAATGCATATACAGACTGACTTTACTTTTGTGGGCTTAGTAACACCAAGTATAACCTGTACAAAAGTATATGCTATATTACACATGCTACAGCCTCCTGATGACAGTATACGGTCTGCTGCCACTGGAAGGTACACTTGGGAGAGGGCTTCTTGTTTAGCCCAATACAGGTCTGCCCTGTCTCTGAAGAGCACCCTCCTGTAGCAGCAGGGAGCATTTCCTCAGCACTACAGCAGGCTGTGCACACAAGTACAGACTGCAGGGCACAGTCATTTTTTTTATCCATGGATCCCAACTAGACATGCACTGATTTCAATTTAAAGGGAATTGCTGAATTTAGTTTTAACAACAGTATAACCTATATAATAATTTATACAAATAAAAGGACATCTACATTTCAACCTGTAATCAGCTAAGGTTTTATAAATCCTTTATATGAATGACAAAATATTTCTGTTGGTGTTTAGTACACAGTTCACGTGTAGAACATTCCCCAGAAATCTTTTTCCTGATTGTGCGAATGGTTCATTAATTTTTCAAGATTTATATTGAGCTTAGATCTTAGACATCCTTTGCTCTGTCTCTGTTTAGTGCAGCGAGCTTTTCATCTATAGCTAGAATTTGACCATATATACAAAATGGATGGGGGGTGCCATGTTTCTCTTAGCCCAGGTTCATATTGGTGTGACTTTGAAATTGTGCCGCTTCAACATGATTTCAAAGCCGCAGATCATTGCCATCTGCACCACCAAATTTTCATTTCGGCTTGTGACTTCATTTAACAGAAGTCCATGCAAGTCGCAATGAAATCGGAAAAAAGGAGTGCAGGAACCTTTCTCATAATCGCTGTGACATGAGTCGCAGCAATATGAACGGTTCCATTACCAGCAATGGGGTATGACTTGTCATGCAATTTGGAACTGTCAAATTGCATGAAAAATCGCATCAATGTGAACGGGGGCTTATTACAACACAGGGCCTGGTCAAGCAGTGATAGCAGGCAGACAGTCCCACTCAGTAGGAAGTGCAAGTTAGTGGAGTGGCTAATTTCAGTACCACCAGGGACAGAAGGTAAAACAATTGCAAAAACTCTTTAGCCTTATGAAATTGCCCTGATCACAATTGTTCTTTTTTTCTTAAATGAAAGCGGAGGTACACTTTAACTTACTGAACACACTGCTTGAACAAGGCCAAATAAGGGAAAAGCACTGAAAGCTTAATTAGCCTTTAGTAAGAAATGTCTGAACATTTTTTATGGGGATTTAGTTTATGCTGCAAACACGCATCAGAAAATAGAAACGTCTCATATATCTCATGATAAATTCTCATAGAAAAGCAATCATCATTCTACCTGGAAATGGATTCAATTTATAAATAGGTGGATATAGGATCGTATATTTATGATTGTATATCATTTTTTTTCCTCCCCCCTCTATTGGTTGAACTGGATGGACTTGTGTATTTGCAGCCAAACTATGTAAATATTTTATCTACTTCCAGTCCAGGCCATTTCTGGAAATTTTTTGGTCAGGTCTTATGTAAACAATCAGTTTTTTTTTTTTTGCTAGAACATTACTTAGAACCCCCGATCATTTTATTTTTTTAAAAGCAGAGGCACTAGAGAATAAGTTGGTGGGTTTTGAAATTTTTTATGTCACACAGTATTTGCGCAGCGGATTTTCAGACGCAATTTTGTGGGAAAAAATACACTTTTTGAAAGAAAAAAAAAAAAAACACAATACATAACTAATTGTTTTGTAACGTATAAAAGATGATGTTAGACCAAACATGTTATGCTTTAAAAATTGGATGTGCCCGTGCAATGGCGACAAACAACGTAAATTTTATTATCCATGGGTGACGCTTTAAAAGGCTTTACAAGTTGCCACTTTAGATTTACAAAGGAGGTCTGGTGCAAAAATTACTACCCATGATCTGACATTCGCAGGGATACCTCATATGTATAGGTCAATCACTGTTTTTGTGGGTGCGGGACCGATGTGTGCATTCGTCTTTGAGCGCAAGCACGTGAGGATGAGGGTGCTTTAAACATTTTTTTATTCAGCATGTTCAAACTAGGATTCAATTGTTTTTATTATTATTGTTATTCATTGTACACATTTACCTTTATTAGATCACAAACGGATAACCACTGACTATAAAGTACCCACAGATATCATTTGGAAATATTTTTCAATAAATTGTGCAACTGAGCAGACATCTGTGCCACCGACAGCAATGATTTGCTAAATTTCATCAAGGTCAATTGGTTCTTTAGCCAGCAGAGCTGGCACAGGTCACAGACTGCAGAAGACATGCAATTATTTACTGACCCAACCATTCTCAACCAGATATGAAAATCGTCATCCTATGTATATGGATACAGTCAGATATCCCATTAGGTAAAATCTGATTATCAGGCTTTCCTAATCCTCTAACAGTTCCCATAACTGTAAGTGATGCAGGTGGGTTCTAAGAGTCAGTCTGATCTGGTCTGTACATCTAAGGTCAGACATTGGAGGGAATTTGTAAAGAGTGTTGTTGACACAGTTTTAGAATTCTGTCCGGGCCACACCAAAAATTGATGGTGTGTGCACCAGATTTATAGTTCTATTTCAGTACCTGCCATCTACAAATTCATGTACCCGTTTCTGAGTGCATACTGGATGCTCCTTCCTCAGAGCAATCCCTCCCCAGCCACGGTGCCAATCACACAGATAGGTGCATTGTCAAGGAGTTTTGTAGTGAGCTGGGCGAGGCCTGATGAGGAACTAAAAGACTACTTCCCAGTAGGTCCACCTTGCTTTTGTTTGAAAGCGCATGGCAGTGGGCAGATCAAAAGCAAGGTGGACCTGACTGAGAAGTAGTCTTTCAGTTCCCCATCACACTCTACCCACCGGATTACTGCCAGTTTTGTAATTTGTGAATTGGATGTAATTCATTAAGAATCTGTTGCTGCTATAGTGAGAGGTTCTTAAAGTGGCGTTAGTAAGAACGACCTGAATTTGTTGAACATAATGGTAATGTTATAGAAGCTGGCGCAAATGCTTGACTAAGTTAGGTGCAGGAAGTTTTAAAGGGAGCTACCACCAGAAAAGCGCTGTTAAAGCCCAACTCTGGGCAAAAACATTTTTCCCACACAGGTCAACTACTTGTTTTTTCTAGAGGTGAGCAGAAAGCTTATACCCACCTGACTCTTCTATCCTTCAGAACATGGTGCTCCCCCACGGTCCAGCAGTAGAGTGTTCCTGGTCTATGACACCTGGTCTAGGCATGTTGGTGTAAGGAACAGTCCACTATTCAAGACCGCTAGAGCGTGGGGGTGTCGGACCAGTCTTGTGCTGGGAGGATTGGAGGATTAGGTCTCCTCTCCTCTAGAAAAGAACGATTAATTAACCCATACAGTACTCACAGTCTCACTGAATGGCAAAAAAAAAAAAAAAAAAAAAAAAAATTGCTCGGAGTTGGGCTTTCATGTCTTATTGAATTCTCTTACCGTTGTTATCTCTGACTTTGGTTTGCTTCTTGTCATTGTCTCGAGCAACACCCAGTATTTCTATGGAAACAAATGGGTCCACTATGGAAGTTTTCTTCTTGTTCAGCTTTGGTAGTTGTTGCCCTGAAATCACCTGAAAAAAAAAAAAAAATTTGACCTGTCAATCTGAATATAAACAGGGAAAGAAGCAGCGTTCAAAATCAGTTATGGAGGATGGGTTTGGGCAATCCATGACCGGTGTCAGATTGATGTCAAGTTCATGGATTGCCCAACACAACACAAAATCCATCTGAGTGTTATCTGACAATTCTAGATAAGTGTACACAATTTTCAGTTCTGTGTTCTGACAGGGTTGTGCATCTTTACCCAAATTGACATAGTGTATACACCTAGTAAATAAGTGATCACCTCTGCTCACTACAGCATACACTATAAAACATGCTCAGATTGCCCAGAGAGGCATTCACAATCAACACTGAACTCATCAATGCTGTCAGACTGGAAAAGGTTAATAATTAATCATAAGAAGAGTGGAACATAAGATATGAAAGTTATAGGTCTAAAATACCACCATCCCACAACAGTATGCAAAACAAATATTGAAACAGACAGAACTTTACATGCTGCATTAGAGACTAAATATCCAGAGGAGAACCATACAAAATGAACAACATTAAGGAATTTCTCACTCGTAATGGGACTTTAACGTTATTATTAATGTTCCAGATTAAAAGTCCACATATGGTCTACTCATAAAAACAAAGATATGAGATTCACAAAATTTAGCACATAAATATTTGACCGTAATTAATATAAAACCCAGAAATATAGATCACTATTTATGTGCTATGTCGTGAATACAAAATAATGTTTTTTATGAGCAGACCATGAGCAGTCTATCTGGAATACGATTATACATTCTGCATTTTGTAGATTTTTGTATATTTTTGGTCTGGGTATTTTTAGTCCCTATCGCAACATGTAATGTTTCTTGTTTCATTATACTGTATGCTCTGTAAATTAGAAAAATATTCACCAAAGCTGGGTATATACTGGCCCTCCAGCTGTTGAAGTACTACAAGTCGATCATACCTCTGCTTCTAGGAATCTTGCCTGTGGCTATCAGAGTCTTGCAAGGCCTCATGGGACTTGCAGTTCCTCAACACCTGGAGGGCCATAGTTTAGAGACCCCTGAACTAGTAGAAAAACAAATACATTTCTAACAATGAACATGATTTTAGTTTGGAAAAGTCCATTCACTCAAACGTTAAAAGCAAATATTTTTTAAGTGCTTTTGAATGAAATTCATCAAGTCACAGAATGTACTATGAGAAATTTCATACAAATGTTCATATGAATGTATAGCCAGCTTAAGTCAGTGTGAAAAACAACAGTAATGTACAAAATGCAGTAGGTTCGAACACTCAACCTAACAGAAGATACACTATACTGTCAAAAGTTTGTGGACAGCTGGTTACAGAGGCGGATTGACCATTTGGGCTCTCGGGCACTGCCCCAGGACCCGGGGTCAGTAGGAGGCCCCATGAAATGACCCTGGTAGATTTTATAGGCTTTTTTGGGTGTGCTTTGAGTGTGGGCAAGGTCACAAGGGCCCCCTGATCCCCTATTGCCCGAGGGCCCCATGAGTTGTCAGTCCACCCCTGGCTGGTTATCTTACCTACTATATTGTAATTATTGGATACCCATATTATGGAGTTCAGGTCTTTCCAACGAAGGATAGTATTAATACCAAGGCAAACAAAGACATTTTAGATAATTGTGCACTTGCAATCTTGAACGGTTTGGTGAAGGCCTGTTTCTGTTTCATCATAACTGTGTCCCTTTGCACAAAGCTAGCTTCACATACTGTAGTAAAGGTTTGACAAGTTCGGTGTGGAAGAATTGGAGTGGCTTGCAAGAAGTCTTGATTTAAACCCTATTGAACACCTCTGAAATTAACTGGAATGCAGATTGTGAGCAAGGTCTTTTTGTACAACCTCACTACCTGTCCTCATAAAATGTTCTTTTGTCTGAGTGGGCACACATTCTCACAGATACTCTCCAAAATCTTGTAGGAAGCCTTCCCAGAAGAATGAAGACTGTTACAAGCCCAGAGGTGGGGGACAATTCTATATTAATGCCCATGGTTTTGGAATGGAATGTCCAGCAAAACTCATAGGTGTGAAAGTCAGGTGGCCACAATCTCTTGGCCATATAGCATACCTTTAAATATTGAAGATACACTTTAGATGATCAGAGGCAAATATTATTGTACAAAGACGTTTTAGTACATGCTGGACAAATTCTTAATTTAATAACAAACTTATTCAATTTTATATGGAGAAAAGGAAACACAGGTTTCAGCATGAACACAGCACTCCCTTCTGTCATCTGAATGAGCATGTGTCCAACGGCCACAAAAGTCATTTAAGGTCAGGCACATTTCACAAAAAAAAAAAAAAAAAAAAAAAAAGCGGCACTTCTAAGGCAAGTTCATATTAAGCTTACCATGACATTAAGCTTTTTAGGGGTCCACCACTCTCCATCCTGAATGGACTTTGGATTGAATTTAGACTGATTGTATCGCAGGAACGAGGGTTTCAGCACATAGCCACAGAATCCGTTATCGTGAAATTTGCCCTGGTACACATCCATCTCTCTACATGAGGTTTGGAAGTTCAAAGCCACTGTGAAGTACCCAACATTTTATAAGTTTAGTTTAAGCATATAATTCTCAAATACATCAGTCTTTGTTTCATATTTTAATTTTGGTTTCCCTTAAGTGAATTGGGTTGCATAAAAAAATGGTGTGTAATATGCAGATGTAAGTGAACGTTTAAATCAGGTTTGTAGAATGTAAAAAGGTGTGTGTCTACTGTTTAGGCTTTTGAATGTGCAGATTCCAGTACTCTGTACATGCACAGGCATAAAACCTGAGTACCTAGCATATGTTCTTAACCTTCATTGAAAGCTACCCAATACCCAGGGCCAAACTAGGATCTTATGCAAACAGTCTCAGTGCCTAGAGGACTTGGAATTGATTTGCACTACAGTGAAGGAAGAATGCAGCAGAGGTGGAGAGATGACCTGGCAAATTCTATACAACCAAGAAACAAGATTGTCACCTGCCTGTGTATTGTGTTTAAACCACAATATTTGCCATACCACATTACAAAACTGTTTGTAGTTAAAAACAGTAATCATATCACTTGGCCATCAAAATGTTTAAAGGGTGGCAATAAAAGTTTTTTTAAGTACCAAGCATAATTTGCCCAATGCCTAAGGGCCAATTCACAGTATATGGGGTGAAAGGCATTTTAATGAATGGTCAAAAGGTCTGTCACCACAAAGACACACAGAAAACAATTGTTTCCCATGTGTCACATTCACACTGCAACGCAGCCTAGTGCTGCGATAAAGTGCAGACTTTCTGCAGAGTACCAGGCCAAAACGAATTGCCACGTTGGGCAGACAGCGCATCGCGCTGCCTGACATTTCAGTGGATGACGCAAGTTTTGTACACTTCAAAGAAAGCTTCTACAAAAAAAAAAAAAAAAAGGTGGTGGGGGGGGGGGGGGGGGGGAGCCATATGATGTGCTAAAGTGCGTACCAAACTGCCCCCTAGCACAGCTGGTGGCACAGAGCGGCCAGAGCTGTGACTCGATACTGCTGCTCTGCAATTGACTGGATGTACTGTACACTATGAATTCACCCTACATGTACTGGCTGCATTTGTTTTTTTTCTTTATTTTCACCTGGTGATCTGATCACTAGTAACACATTAGAAGTGAGAACCCCAGAGGGGTTCCTGGATTAGCTGTGGGAGGCATCACTATTGAAAGCACACTAATCAAAGTCACTCATGCAGCGATCACATGCAAGTGATTGCCCCTGGATTCAGGCAGTCTGTATCCAAGACTGATCACTCGCATGATATCGCTGCATGAGAGATCATGTTCATCCACCCAGGAATAAGATTTATCCAGCTCATTGTTTGCAAAATGTACAAATTACTGTACCATCTAGTCACCAATCATAATTCTGCTTTAACTCACTGAACTGCATTTCACTGAAGGATGATTGAATTGCTAGGGTCCACTGCACTTTCCGTACCACAACTTCTCTATACACTGCAGTCACAATTTCACTATAGAAGACATTTGCCAAGAATTGCCAAAAAACAAACAAAAAACCCCTGCTGCTTAGAAGGAGGCTATAAATTGCAGATACCCCTTTTTTTGTATGGGAAACCCCTTTTATGTATAAGGCGGAGGACAGAGAGAGGCTGGACAGTCACAGTCTGGCTGAGAATGACTTACCTATCTGGCAGCCCACATTCCACATATCTACAGGGCTGTAATTGGAGGAGTCTGTTCTCCAGCCATCAGGGTATATCCTGGTAAGCTGTCGCGTATTGTGCCGAATAAAACTGTTTGCTTTAGAAGAAAGAAGTACAAAAATATGAACACGGAGAAGTATGACTGGGAAGAAATTTCAAATGACAGCTTAATTATTGTTCCAATATTATCTTAAAGGATTTATATTAAACCAAGGATGTGCATACTGGATACAGATTTACAGTGGCAACAAATTGGTTGCTCTTAAACCGCAGGGAAAGGTTGTGTTGTTATAGTTAATGGTTTTAAAATCTATTCAATAACATTCTCCTTTTCCATTATCCTGAATTCGTTCTTTAAAGGACTTGATTTATGTTAGAATCATGTCACGGCAAACCCCAAAGTTATAAAACATGTTCTTCTCAATTGGCACCATCCCAAAATCAGGCTTACTGATCATGGCAAATCCGGCTGTTTACATGAATAATATACAACATAAAAATCTGCCTTTGATTATACTGTAAATTGACAGCACTATATAAATAAAATACTAGATGAGATATTGCCCGCACTTATCAGCAATTGGTGAGTTTACATAACTAACTAAGACAGGATTATCTTTGTAAGTAAGCCAGGCCATAAATCAATCGATAGATCAATTTGTGTATAACCAGGGTGCCCATACATGGATTAAAATTCGGCCAGTCCCTGCTGAACTGGGTGAATTTCGATCCATGCATGGCTGACTTCTGAAGATCACTAATAAATGCCAGACAATGACAGTTGTTAAATTGCCAACCAATACATGGAAGCCTCACTGTCGTTGAAAGATAAATCATTATGGGTTTGGGTCAGTTTTATTTTTTTTTTGTTTTTTTTTAAATTCAAAGGTTTTTTTTAACTGTTTTTCCTTATTTCTTCAGTGTCTATATACAATGTTTCTTTTGCAAAAAACATTTAACAGACACAAAAAATAAATAAATAAAATCACTGAACACAATGACATTATCTAAAAAGCAGAGCAGCTTGCTTTGAAGCCCCCTTTCTCTAATAAAGGGTGAGTCACTGCTGTCATACTTCAATGATCCCTGTGTCCAACAAGCTTCTTACAGCACAGTTGAAATTAAATTAAGTTTATAATGTAAAAATGAGACTAGAGTGCCACCTTATGGCTAAAAGACAACATCGGCACATAACTCCCATTTACCTGCTTTAAAAAAATATTTACAACATTTTACAAAGGATAAGATTTAGGGTGTTCATGCAAGACCTCAATCCCTCCATTAGCTATACCAGCTCTGCCTTAAACCAGAAAAAAAAAAAGGCATGCCCTGCATAGAAATGGCAGTTCAGGGAGAGCTTCTCTGGATGGTCACAATTCCACGGTAATGTATTATTGTACCTTATCTCTCCCCTGTGCAGCTAACCCTGCTGATTGACACCTGTTCCTCACTAAAGTCAGTTCACCCAAACTAATAATTTTGTCCTTGCCCCTGACCATGTTTTGCCTATGCCTAAAACAACAAGGATGTATTACTAACCCCCAAGCTCACCTGTATCATTGGTCAACTTCAGAGATTTGCTCTCAGTGAGAGAGGACATTTCATAGAACGCCTGGTGCTCTGCAGCATATTCAAAGCCACGGAAATGCACACTCTTGCAGTATAATACTGTGTCAGACAGTTCTTTTGCAAGCTTCAGCTTTGCAGCCTAAAATAACAAAGGTTTACATCATTAGGTAGTGTAAAGCTCAAAATTTCCCTTTAATAATAAAATGTCCATGCGCATATAGAAGGTCTGCATGAAATCCATATAGCTTACTTTGCTTTTCTTGGCATTCACTTTAGACTTGACTGCCTCATCCTCCATTTCTGCAGCTTCATCTTCATCAGACACATCATCCGCCTCTGTGGTGCTGACACCATTCTTCAGGCTGTCTTCTAGCTTGTTCAACTTCTTACCCTTCACCAGGATTTTCCCTTTTAGTTCCTGAAAAAATAAAGTGAGTCGTGGTTTACATAAGAGCAAACTAATAGATTTGGGCTTATTTTAATTTTTTAAACAGTTTTTTGCTATTAGTATAAAAACTTTATTTTATAAATAAATTTTGGCGACAAGTTGCACCCATGACACAGGATTCTCAGAGTACTAAGGTCTTTCTAAAGAAAGAACACAGCAAGCGGTTTGCGTTCAGACTCTCCCTCATTGAAGGTCCATGTGGCTCATGTCTGGAACATTGTTTGGGCACAGTTGACATTCCTTTTTGTGTTTTTTGTTACTTTCCTCAGATTCTTTGGTTTTGTATCACAAAACAAAACCATCAGCCATAATAGCCAATTAGTTCTGCTTTCTAATTTGCACACTGATGTTTCTTCTTGTTCCTTCTCCCAGTGCAATATATAAGCCAATGAGCCAGATGACTTATTAAAGACAATGCACTACCTCTGCTGCTGATATTTTATTTCAACAGTTAAGAGATAGTAACAGCAGTTATACTAAGCCACTGGAAGCTTCAGAGGCCAGTCTACACATCAGTATGTGTAATACATACATACAAGTAAGGAAGATAAATCTTGTAGAATGTGAATTCCTTTCATAAAATGCACTGTATAAATAACTCAGAATAACTGTGAAAGGGAGAAAGTTTAGCATATTTTCAATAAACAATCATTCCCAGGGAACACAAGTTAATGATATTCCTTTTAGGATTTGAAGGAGAGTGAAAGTTGCAAATGCTCATCTCTATTTCTAGCACTAGGGGGCAAGCTTGGAGAACACAATCTATCAATCCATTTCCTGTTCCTGCAGTTTCCTAAATGCCAGCTGACATCTGGATCAGATTATCTGATAACCAAGCAGACGTAAAAATAGAGGTATATGCAGAATATATATATATATATATATATATATATATATATATATATATATATATATAATAAATAAATATAAAAGAGCAGTCTTTTTCATATTATGCTGTACTAACGTTCACAGAGTTACTATTAAGACTGTCTCAGACTAGTCTACAAGGTCAGTGTATATAGAATATGCCTGGCCCTAGCTACATGAGACTACTGCCATGACACAAGACACAATTTTGCTGTGTGTGAGCAAATTTCTAGTTGGGACACCTTTTATATTCCCCTTTATAGCATTATAGTAGTGACTGTTTACTCATAAAACACAGCATGCAACACACTACAGTCTGCTGAATGTGAGTCAGCAATGGTGAAATCAGAAGCCTGCAGCAGAGTACGGTGTTCTAGGAAACCAAACATATGCTGGATACAATTATGAAGGGCTGGAAAAAAATGTGGCTCCAGACCCAGGAATGTCAGTGGTCCTAGGAGGAGGATAAAAAACCATCCCAGAAGGTCCGTATTACTAAGACTAGCATCAAATTGGTCAAACCCCGCTTGCAAATATTACGGTCACCCTCTGGCTCTATCCTGCACCCCTTAACTCATATCTTCAATCTTTCCCTTTCTACTAGAATCTTACCCAACCCTGTAAACATGCATTAGTCACCCCCATACTTAAAAGGCCTAGGGGCGCACGTGCAAGGCTTCCCGAGATGGCTGCGATGTAGGACAGCTCCGCACTCCCCAGGCGCTCTCTCTCTTCCTGACAAAGATATCAGCATTTTATCACTATACTGACAGTACCACTAGCATTGTGACGGTGGGTGGTCATGGGTCTGACAGAAAAGCCCAAAACTCGGCAATACGCTGACCCGAAGCCGCAACACAAGTCGGCGGTCAAAATGGCACTGGTGCCCCTGGCTGACGAAACCGCGAGGCACTCGTTGGAAGATTCCAATGGCTCAGCTGACAGCTCGCTGCAATTTCCATCAGCCCTGCAGCTAACACGTTTTGACCCAGACACCGCCCTCCTAGGTAAGATAAGGGACATAATCAGGGAGGGATTAGTGGAGATCTCCCACAAACTCTCCCCTGAACTCCTCAAGGAAATCAAAGATGTGGGGGCACATGCTACTCTTTTAGAACATAGAGTGGATGATGTAATGACCGTTCTGAATGGGCATGAATCTGACATTTAACAACTGCAGGCAGAATTACATACATTGCGGAATCAATTGGAGGATGCTGAGAACTGGGCCAGATGGAGCGATATTCTTATTAGAGGCCTACCTGCAACCATCTTACACCTCTGGGGCTTGGGTTCTCTCTCTTCTGCAGGAACCGGTCCCTGAAATTCCTGTGGACCGCTTGGAAATGGACAGAATTCATCGTGCCCTCACCCGCTGGCAACCTGATGGTCCTCCTCGAGATATAATCCTCAAATTTCATTTTTACAGACCCAAGGATCGGGTGATGAAAGCAGCAAGAGAATCCAGGACTTTTCAAGATCACCCTTACCAAATTTTTAGTGACCTATCCCAGACCACCCTCATCAAACAGCGATCTATGAAACCGCTACTTCAAGTTCTACAAAGCTGCTCCATCCGCTATCGCTGGGGTTTTCCTTTTAACTCCTTCACGCATCAAGGTGTAACATATGATACTTGCAACCCTGAGGAGCTCAAAAAATGTCTCACAGATCTAGACTTTCTGTCATCACCAGACTCATCCTCCCAACCTCCATCATCTATGGCATCGATCCCTCCTCAGCTTCGCTCATCCTTGGGCCCTCACACAGATTCATTTCCAGGCAAAGATCTCAGGCCCTGGCCCGTCTGCACTCCCAGACCTCTCATCCAGTGGGACAAGGCTGACTGTTGTATCCATGAGCTAATGCGGTTTCCTATTCTCTGATGGTATTTCTATGAACAGACTCTGTGGATCCCCCTGCCTTTTTTTTTTTTTTTTTTTTTTTTTACAAGCCTTGGAAGCCTGAACCTAACAATTGCTCGTAGATGTATCTCTATGGTCCACTTTTGGTTTATTAACTGGGCTCTACTTTGAACATTGTATTTTGACCCTTTCATTTTTAGGATGCCCTAGTTTGCCATCTACGGTTACGAATAGGTTCTATTTACCTAGCTATATTCACTCCGTCCCTCCATCCTCTTTAGGTACCCATTGTGGGGCCTGCTGACACATGGGGTCTTATTTCAGGGGTGGCCCTGCTTGATCCTGCTCTGGTTCTCTCCCCAAATCCTCCTTCCTCCCTGCCCCAAAAGTTCCAGGTAAGGATCACGGGGAAGCACCCACTTGGGTTTCTATTTAGCCTCTATTTGCCGTTTAATAATGGATGTTACACAATATGTGTATCTTCTTCATATTTGGATCTATGAATAGTGGTTAGATCTTACTCCTTGAGCTTATAGCGTAGTTTACGGTTTCTTGAAGAGCTGATAATCCCCAAGAGCCATGGGTACCCTCCCTTCTCCTTTCCTTCCCCTTCCCCAATGCTCTGCTGGGGCATGTATTCCCCTACTCCCTCCCCCTCTCCTTCCCGTAGGTGCTTGGGGGCTCACTGAGTCGTCACCCTTTCACCTTTGTCATTTTGACCTTGGGCCTGGCGTGCTCCCAGGCACCCCTCACAGCTCTGTAGTAATGATAGAATGTACCTTAGGAATGATTTAGCGCAATCTCACCCTTAACCCCCCCCCCCCCTTTTTTTTTTGGTCCTCTTCCTTTATGTCTGCAAGATGGCTACATGCCACGCCCTTTTCAACCCTACATGCGAGACTTAGTGCCCACGAACACTCTTTTCATAGTGGGCACTAAGTGCATCCACAATTTTCACTGCGTGCTTTTCCTTTTTTTTTTTTCAGGACAACGGATCGATTTAGCACATATCCCTCTTTTCCTTCCTTCTTCTGCCTTCCTTTTACCCTTTCTTCCTCTACCCCCCCCCCCATCCCCCACCCATTTTTTTCCCCTTACTCCTTTTCCTACCCTTTTGTGTTTTGCCCTCCCCCTCGCCACTCGGAGATATCTGCTTTTCCTCTTATATAGTCCAGCCTTTATTATTATTATACAGTATTTATAAAGCGCCAATAGTTCGCTCAGCGCTGTACATTACAAAGGGGGACAGAACATCTGACAGAACAATACCAATACAATGCAAAACACGAGGGGATCGAGGGCCCTTCTCTTTCAAGCTTACAATCTAAGAGGGAGGGGATGGTGGCACAGGAGGAGATAGCTGGGGGGATGGAGTGGTAGGAAGAGTGGAGGAGGTCAGCAAGTTAGCAGGGGGTGGGGTAGGCTTCCCTGAAAAGATGGTTTTTCAGGGTGCGCCTATAGGAGAGGAGAGTAGGTGATAATCTGATGGGTTGGGGCAGGGAGTTCCAGAGGATGGGTGACACCCTGGAGAAGTCCTGGAGGCGGGCATGGGAGGAGGAGACCAGGGAACTAGAGAGAAGGAGGTCTTGTGAGGAGCGGAGTGTGCGTGCTGGGCGGTACTTGGATATTAGGTCAGTGATGTAGTTCGGGGCAGTATGGTGGACAGCTTTGTACGTCAGCGTTAGGATTTTGAATTTGATCCGTTGCGCAATCGGAAGCCAGTGGAGGGATTGGTAGAGGGGGATGGCGGAGACAGAGCGGTTGGAAAGGTGAATGAGTCTGGCAGCCGTATTCAGGATGGACTGAAGCGGGGATAGCCAGCGGTGAGACAGGCCAGTGAGGAGGGAGTTGCAGTAGTCGAGTCGTGATATGATGAGAGAGTGGATGAGCTGTTTAGTGGTTTCTGGGGTTAGGAACGTGCGGATTTTTGGCGATGTTGCGGAGGTGGAGTCTGCACAAGTTTGTTAAAGATTGGACTTGGGGTTGAAAGGATAGGTTGGAGTCCAGAATTACACCAAGTACTCTGGCCTGCAGGGCGGGTTTGATGGTAGCGTTGTTGGATGTGACAGAGAAATCAATGGGGGGTGGTGTCCGGGCTGGGGGGGAAGACAAGAAACTTGGTTTTGGAGAGGTTCAATTTAAGGAAGTGGAGCGACATCCAGTCTGATATGTCGCTCAGTAGGTGTGTGATTCGGGCTGAGACCAAGGGGGTGAGGTGGGGGGGTTGAGAGATAGATTTGTGTGTCATCGGCATAGAGGTTGGTAGTTGAAGCCGTGAGAGTGTATGAGTTGGCCAAGGGAGGAGGTATAGATGGAGAAGAGAAGGGGCCCGAGGACAGAGCCTTGAGGGACCCCAACAGAGAGAGGGAGTGAGGGGGAGGTGGTAGCATTATAGGTAACGCTGAAGGAGCATTGTGACAGGTAGGATGAGAGCCAGGAGAGAGCAGAATCTCTGAGGCCGAGGGAGTGTAGTTTTTTGAGGAGGAGGGGGTGGTCGACTGTGTCGAAGGCCGCAGAGAGGTCAAGGAGTAGGAGCACTGAATAGTGGCCATTAGCTTTGGCGGTTAGCAGGTCGTTGGAGAGTTTGAGTAAGGCAGTTTCGGTGGAGTGTAGGGGACGGAAGCCGGACTGTAGGGGATCGAGGAGGTTGTTGTCGTTGAGGTGAGAGCATAGGCGGGTGTAGACTAGGCGCTCCAGGAGTTTAGATGTAAATGGGAGCAGGGAGATGGGTCTGAGGTTGTTCGGGTCATTGGGGTCCAGGGAGGGCTTTTTAAATATGGGGGTGATGTGTGCATGTTTCAGAGGGGAGGGGAAAGTGCCTGAGGAGAGGGAGAGATTGAAGATGTGGGTGAGGGAGTGTAGGATGGAGGAGGAGGAAGGTCGTAGGAGTTGTGAGGGGATAGGGTCGAGGGGGCAGGTGGTGAGGCGGGCATCAGAGAGGATCTTGGAGACTTCCTCGATGGTAGTAAGGTCAAAGGTGCGGAGTGTGGGGGGAGCTTCAGTATGAGGAATGTAGGGTGGGGTGGAAGAGGAAGTCAGAGCAGTGGTGGGGCCGTGGGAGAGGGGTGATGAGGGGGTAGTTGAGTGAGAGGGAACGGGGTTGGAGGGAGTTTGAGCAGCGACGAAGTCCCTGCGGGTTATGTCGAGGGGGAGGGGGGATAAGGGGGTAGCTGTGTGAGAGGGGACGGGTTGAGAGGGTGTGTGAGTTGCGGCAATGTCCTTGCGAATTGTGTCAATCTTGTTTTTGAAGTGATTGGCAATCTCAAGGGCAGTGAGTGAGGTGCTGGGTGGAGGTGGGGGTGGAGAGAGTAGAGAGTTGAAGGCAGAGAAGAGTCGGCGAGGATTGGAGGAGAGGGCCTTGATGAGGGTCAAGAAGTAGGCCTGTTTGGCAGCATGGAGGGAGGAGGTGTAGGTGTGGAAGGCAGATTTGTAGCGGGTGAAGGCTTGTTGGGATTTGGTTTTGCGCCATAGTCGCTCCAGGGCACGACTTTGTCGTTTGAGGGTTTTGGTGTGATCAGTCTGCCAGGGCTGGAGCGGTCGGGTCTGATTTTGCGTGTGGTTAAAGGCGCTAGTGAGTCAAGGGCTGTTGAGAGCGCATTGTTGTAGGCGGTCATAGCCAAGTCGGGGCAGGACAGGGGGAGGATGCGGTCGTTGAGTTGATCAGCTGCAGAGTGGAGGGAGGCAGGGTTAAGGTTGCGGAGGTTACGGCTGGTAGTAGTGTGACATTTGGAGGGGTAGGCGTTGGAGGACGAGGAGATAGAGAAGGTGATCAGGTTGTGGTCAGAGAGAGGGAAGGGGGTGTTAGTGAGGTTGTGGGGAGCGCAGCAACTGGAGAAGACGAGATCAAAGATATTACCGTCGGAGTGGGCGGTGGATTGTATGCACTGTGCAAGTGTAAAGGAGGAGGTTAAGTGGAGGAGACGGGATGTGTCCGGGTTGTCGAGGTTGACAGGGATGTTGAAATCCCCAAGGATGATGGTGGGTAGCTCAGAGGAGAGGAAGAAGGGTAGCCAGGAGGAGAAGTCATCCAGGAAGCGGGGTATGGATCCAGGAGGCCGGTATATCACAGCAATCTTCAGGGGGGTTGGGGAGAATAGTCTGACGCAGTGGGCCTCAAAGGAGGAGAAGGATAGGGAGGGGGGGGTTTGGGAGGACTCGGAAGGTGCTCTGCGGTGACAGGAGCAGACCAATCCCACCACCTTTACGACTGTTAGGCCTGGGTGAGTGGGTCCAGGTGAGACCTCCGTAGGAGAGTGCAGCAGGGGAGGTAGAGTCAGTGGGCTGGATCCAGGTTTCTGTAATCGCCAAGAGGTTGAGGGAGCGGGAAACAAAGAGGTCGTGGATGGCGGTAAGCTTGTTGCACACCGATCGGGCGTTCAGGAGTGCACATGAAAACGGGGAGATTTTAGGGAGCAGGGGGACAGATACTAAGTTACGGGGGTTGCAGTAGGACGTGGAGGTGGGAGGGTGTTGTGCGGGTGAGGGAGGTGGTGGAGGTGGATTCGGGGAGATGTCCCCCGCGGCTAGGAGGAGGAGAAGGGTGAGAAAGGTGGCATGGGAGCGGGATGTGCAGGATCGTGTGAAACTACAAGTGGAGGTGTTCGGGTCAGTGGGAGAGTGGAGTAATAGGAGGAGGTGGTGGGTGCCGTAGAGGGGCGAAGGAAGCAGTGAGGACACAATATACAATTGTTTGGGAGGAGCAGAGGGATATAGTGAATGGATTTTGGGAACGGAGGAGAGGAAAATGAGGAGGAGTGGAAGAGGCATTTTGGAGAGGTGAAGAGAGCAATAGTAGGGAGATGATGGCAGTGAGGGGGAGATGTACAAGTTTTGGGGTGGAGCAGAGGGGTAAAGAAATGAGATTTGGGAACAGAGGATAGTAATAAGATAAGGAGAAGAGGGGGCTTATTATATAAAAGGTACACGGAGTGGGTCTCAGGCATGTAAGAGATGTTTCCCGGGGTGTTTGCTTGCAGTCTTCCAGCATGCAGTAGAGCTTCTTGCTGTTGTGTCTTCCTGCTGCTTAAGTTCTCCTGCTTTAGTTCAACTGCTGTGTTTAACTGCTTCGCACTCGTTCTAAGCCGCACTCAATCTGAAGCAGCACCCCCATCAGAGACTGTGCCCCCCATCAGAGATCTCCCCCATGAGCTGATCTAAATTTATAGGGAGATGCTCAAATGAGCATTCTACTCCACCCCAATTAGAAGCTGATAAGGATCACTATCCCTTGTAATGTACCATGTCCTCTAACTGGCTGACATTGAATGTTCACAAAAAAATCGACATAGTTTGTCTTCAGGAGACACACTTGACTTCTATGCATATGCCATGCTTTTTTGATAGTTGCTATACTCGCATCTTTCATGTCGCTGCGCAGGTTAAAAAACACGGGGTCCTCATTGCGACTCGCAACACCTTGCCATTTCAGGTACATCGAGTCATTGCAGATCCGCAGGGTTGTTATTTGATCTTATCAGGCTTCCTTCATGATTCCGAGGTGACCTTATGCACGTATTACACCCATAACCAGAGGCAAACAATTTCTCTCTCAGCTACTCTCAAGTATTGCAAACCCATCAAAAACGTCCCCTACTCCTATGCGGTGAAAGAGGGGGAGGAGAAAAGAGGCCTCACTGGACCCCACCAATCTTAACAACCTAAGACCCATCTCCTTACTCCCTATTGCATCCAAACTCCTTGAACAACCTTGAATAACCTTCTTGATCCCCTTCAGTCTGGATTTCACCCACACCCACAGAAACTGCTCTCCTAAAACTCACAAACTACTTACGAACAGCTAAAGCCAATGGTCACTATTCCGTACTCTTGCTCTTGGACCTTGTCTGCTATTCCTCTTACCGTCGGGGTCCCCCAAGGTTCTGTCCTTGCACCTCTCCTATTCTCAATCTCCACTTCTTCCCTGGGTCAGCTGATAGCTTCCCATGGTTTCCAATACCATTTCTATGCTGGTGACACACAAAACTCTCTCTGTACCCCTGAGCTCACCCCAGTAGTTTCCTCATGTATCACTGATTTACTAACAGACTGGATGTAACACCACTTCCTAAAACACAATCTGTCCAAAACTGAGCTCATAAGATTTCCTTCCCATGTGCCTCTTCCCCTGACTTCTCTGTGAAGATCAATAGCACAACTATCAACCCATCCCCGCATGCCAGGGTGCTAGGGGTTACCCTGGATTCTGAACTATCCTTTCAGGCCCACATGTAATCCCTGTCCAAATCATGCCGCCTCAACATCTCCAGAATATGCCCCTTTTTAACCAATGACACTACAAAGCTCCCAATTCACTCCCTGGTTATCTCTCACCTTGACTACTGCAACTCCCTCCTCATTGGCCTACCTTTACATAGACTATCGCCCCTCCAGTCCATCATGAATGCTGCTGCCAGACTCATCCACCTTACCCCTCTCTGCCATGGGCTTCCACTCGCTCAACGAATACAATTCAAAATACGAACAACTTACAAAGCCATCCACAACTCTGCCCCCAGCTACATCACTAACCTGGGCTCAAAATATCAACCATACCCCGCTCTCTTCAGTCCTCCCAAGACCTTCTGCTGCCCTCTAGTTCCCGTGTCACCTCCTCCCATGCTCTCCTCCAGGACTTCTCCTGAGCTTCTCCCATCCTATGAAACTCCTTACCCTAATCTGTCAGACTATCTCCTAATCTATCCACCTTTAGACGATCCCTGCAAACCCTTCTCTTTAAAAGAAGCATATTCTGCTTCTAAATAATAAACTACATTTTTACTTTCTCCATCAGCTCATCCCTACAGCTATTGCCTTTTGTATCACTCAATCCCCCCTCTTAGTTTGCAAGCTCTAATGAGGGGGGAGGAGGAGGGAGGAGGGAGGGAGGGAGGGAGGGGAAGCCCCTCTCCATCAGCATTGGGGTCACATTAGCTGAATGAGGGTAAGAAACTGGATGTGAGAATATAACAAATGGAATGCTAGTCAGTATCAATGTGCAAATGTATCTGCTTTGGAAGAAGAAATCACCTCTAATGTTAGGTGTCCTACATGTGTGGATGTCGCTGCGTTATAAAAACTAGTTTGGGTTTTTTTTTTTTGTTTTTTTTTAAACATTTTAAAAAGGGGTGCCTCGAGCAGAATTTTAAAGGGTGCCTTGATAGAAAGAAAAAGTTGAAAAACATTGTTCTATACAACTCACTAATAATTTGCTCCTACCTCTGGGGATGGGAACTCCTTTACTTTTCCTTCAACAGGCATCAGCAGCAGCTTGTCTCCCAGTATATCTTTCATGTGCTTGGCCATCGTCTTCTGCTGATCCAGAGTGCAGTGATTCTCCAGAGAGATGATTACAGGGTACGCAGATGTCTACACAAGGAGGTAAATAAAAAAAAAAAAAAAAAAAAAGAAGAATGGCACAGTGCTTTTCAGCTGATCATATAGAATACAATGAGGCAATGACATAATCGGAACAGGAGGTGATGAGAAGTCTCAAAGTGGGGACACCTATTCTGGAGGCTACTGAATCAGAGGAGACTTCTATTCATTTTGGGAAGATTTGAATTTCCTGTTGTCTCCAGGACAGGCAATTAAGGGAAATCTCTCCACGAGGACACAGAAAGCCAGAAAAAAAAAAAAAAAAAAAAAAAAAAAAGAGCTATTTTCTATTGTATCCAAGACTAAACAACTGAATGCAGTATCAACTTAACGAATATACTGTACATGTCTGCAATAGAGGAATCTGCTAAGCGCTAACATACCATTTATGGTGTACATTGCAGTGCTATAGATCGTGATTCTTGCTACTGAAAAGTGAATCTTTCTGCTAGCAGGAGCACAAGGCAGAGAAATAAAGTTTCAAAGGCATAGTTCACCTTTACCAAAAAACTACCTATGCAGGTAAAGGGCCCCGGTAGATAACAACAAACTATGCATTTTGACCAAAATTGAATAATGCCCTTGCTATAGGTGTAGGCCATTTATGTATTTCCTGAAGCTTGACTGAAAAACTAGAGATTGCATCATCTCATCCAGCTTTGTTGCTAGGATTAGGCTAAGAGAATCCTAGCTGTTACTGTTCACCTCCACCATCAAAGGAGGGAGCTCTCAAAACTGCGTCAGAGAAGAAAAAGCGCATGTGAGGGGGTTTGAATCCGAGAAAGAGCTCACTCCCGTGATGGAGGTGATCAGTTAAAGCTAGGAGCCTCTTAGCAATGTCCTTGCAACAAAGCAGGATGGGATGATGCAATCTCTAGGAGTTTTTCAGTCAGGCTTCAGGAGGTACATAAATGGCCCAGATCCATAGTAAGGGCGTTATTCAACTTTGGTCAAAGCTGTACAGTTTGTTTTTAAATACAGACGCCCCTCACCCACATAGGCAGTTTTTTTGGTAAAGGTGAACTATTCCTTTAACACTTCAGTATTTCAGTGCATAAAGATAATGGTGAAAACAAATAGTATAAAAGATAATGCTAACAATAACTTTAAGAATAAAGCTATACAACGCTATACAAAGCTATAACAACACAAACTGGGGCAATCCTTACCTTGAATGCATAGTTCTTTATGGCCGTTATGACATCTTTGAAGAGGATCTTTGACGTTAGGGTGTAGCCATGATAAATTATGGGCTCCCCGTTGGGCCCATCCCAGCAATCGAGCTCCACACACCGACATCCTTTTGTAAGAGCCCTGGTTTCAAAGCAGAAGTGTAATGTGTCAATTTCAGCTATAAAAACCACATTTCAAAGTTTTCTTGTAGGATTAATTATTTTACAGTTCCTCATTTGCAATACCAAGTCTATTAAACTGGATATAAATTGTTTAGGTACACCCACACACTATATAGCTCATAGGTGTCACACAATACAACTGTCCCCAGAAGTCCAACACCCAATACTGAATCTAGTCCATGTCAGTATTTTATGAATAATATACAAAAATGTGTGTTAGTGCCAACCCTGAAAAGCCTGGTTTGATCACAGTGGTAGGTCACCAGCTGATTAGAGCTAACCTTATGTAGGCCTCAGTAGTGCTTGGTCCTTTCAGCTGGTCTTCCATCAAGTAAGTGTTGTGTGAGGATGAGATAAAGTAATGAGACATTGGTTGGTTCATGTCCTGGTAAACTTTGCGGTGTGTGGGGTTAAATACACTTCCATCATCAGATAGCAGGTACATAAGGAAGCCGTCTTTCGTCAGGGACTGTTGTTTCTTAGCTGTAACACAACATATTACACTATTACAACAACCTATAGTATGAGTTTATTTTGTTAATCCACCAAGGACTGCCACTGAAAAACTAACAAAGATGTCAAGTTTTACAAACACACAGCTGGAAAAGGTCAAATGCCGTTCATCACCTCTGCAATGAATTCTGCATCACAAATGCATCTTAAAATTGATGTCAAAAGCACACTGCATTTTTAAATTGCAGCCCACCAACACTGGTTCCAAGGACCCTTTCACATAGACCATGTCCAGTCTGATCAGCGGTGGATCCATACACATTTCCTCCACTCAATCTAAGCAGTGAAGAACGGATGTCATTTTGTGACATCAGTGTGTGTTCATCCTTTAGCTACATTTTTGAAGTTTAAGTATGGCTTTTTTAGCATAGTTACATTGAACCACTGAAACGTGCACGTGCCAAAATTCTGGAAACTGGAATCTGCTACAATGATCACCGCCGTCTTCTGGGTCCTGTGCCGAGTGACTGCCCTGCTGCATAGTGAACACAGGAGGCAGTTTGCTTGGATCAGGAGCCATTCAAAGAACACTTAGCATTCTCTGATTGGCCAAGATGGAGAGGTGGGATAGGACAGCACAATCTACAATTTGTCCAATCAGAGAATGCCTTGAATTAATTAAGAAAAATGTAAGGTTTTCGTGAATGGTGCCGATGAAGGACCAGGAAACTAGCAGCAATCCCTGTAGTATCACTGTAGTAGTGGTGTCTACCACAGTGATTTCCAGCTTCCACAGAGATTGGCCAGATATGGAACATATATACTTAAGGTGTTCCAAGCTGGAACAATGTGACCATCCAAAATGCCATACCTAAACCGCAATTGTAAAAAGTGGAGCTTTCTGGACCCATGTTAGATCTAAGGGCAATCAGACGTATGTGGGCTTACATCCATTCACATCTGATCATTTCCAATCTGTATTGCTTAAGTCCAAAAAAAAAAAAAAAAAAAAAAAAAAAAAAAAAAAAAAAAAAAAAAAAAAAAAAAAAAAGGACACTTTTTTATACCTGGATGGACACGGAAGTAAAGCCCCATACACACGAGCCAAAGTTAGGCTGGTTCAATAGAAACCACCTGACATTCGCCTCGTGTATACACCCACTTGTCCAACAGAAGCCAGCTGGACAGCCAGCTTACGTCGAACGGGCATGCTAAACTATGCTAATCAGTGCTGGCAGCCTATGCCTGCCAGCGCTGACTGGTGTGTTCTTGCGGGGGGCAGTCCCCCCATCAGAACACAGTAGTTCAGCTGGGAGACCGCAGTACTAACATGGGATAGATATCACGGCATCTGAGATAAAAACAAGACTCTGCTGGCGAGTTCTATTAAAATGAAGCCATGGAAAAGTAGACACATGGAGCAAACATTACAATAAAAACTATACTGAACAAAATATTGCAATACAACATATTTAAATCCCAAATTAAGTTTCTAATGAAAGTGTATGTATAGCCAAAACTTATTTTTATAGTTTTTGAAAGAATAGGGAAAGTTTGAAATCCCTGCCAGACATCCCACAGACACAGTTGTTCCTATTTGAGGATTTCCTCTTAGCTTTTGTTCCTGAGACACGTCTAAAAGGTCGACTTTATTAAAAACTTGACAGGTCTAACCATTCCCCATCATAAAAGTAGAAACGTTTTGCATAGAAATACACTTAAAATACTGTAAACCTATTTAGGGTCCAAAAAATTCATAATATTTGATTTACTTGTAAATTATTCAGCAGTCACCGGTAGCCTGCAGATGAGGACTACTACTTTCAATATGAAAGCAGTGGCCCCTCTATTATTATACAGGATTTATATAGTGCCAACGGTTTGCTCAGCGCTTTACATTATAGTGGGAGACAATACAGTAACAATACAAGAGGGATTAGAGGGCCCTGCTCCTTGGAGATTACAATCTACAACAGACCCTGACCCCCATCCCCCAACAAATCAGTCTTATAGCTTGGCAATTAGAAAGATCCATGAGCTATTTATTTTTATCTGTTTATATGCCTTTACCTTTTTCCTTGAAAACACTTGAAGCTTTTTATTCGTTGTAGTATTTATCATTATTTTGAAGTCAGAGTTTATTTTTTCTCCTTTTATAATAAAGGGTTACTTGCCTCCCTTTGGAAATAAATACCTGACAGTGTCTCTAGCCTTCTCCGCTCTATCCAAAAAGAAATATATGTTTTGGCTGGATTTGGGCTTTAAATGTAAAATGTTGGAAAACCACAAAAAAAAAAAAAATGAAAAAAAAAAAAGTTACTTAAATTTTATTTTATTTTACATTTTCCAGTTGATGTCCTTGGACAACAAGGCTTTTTTCACTTTGCACAATATGTGGGAAGTTTTTCTTCTAGAGATAAATCTTGCTCACCTTCCTCACTTGGCTCATATTTGTCTATCAGGGAGGCTGCCTGCTCCAAGGTCACGGCCTCCCGCTGCTCCACAGTCAACAACTTGTGCAGTTTTTCAGCAGACATAAGACGCTCGCTGCTCTTGTAGGTGTCATATATTACATCTATCTCTTCTCGCATTGTCAGGATTTTATAAAATTCCTCAATTTCATCATCCTCCAGAGCTCCAGTCTGTGATTTATCACATTGCTATAAATGTAAGTAACATTAGGTTATGGTTATATTTGTTAATCTGCAAAAGAGTATAAAAATATTAGTGAACAAATACCTCCAGTGTCCGGTGGCTCATTTGGATATACATTATCATTAGGATGAATTCATGCACATTTCCATGCACGTATTCATGTGCTGTCCATGCCTACTTCAAGGAAGAAGTGCAGAGGGTTCCATTATTTTTTATATTGGGGCTTCAAGTGACACCACACAAGTTTTTTTACATCGCAACTTTTTGCCCTTTAAATATTTGCTGCCTTTTGCCCCTTAAATCTGAATTCCAGGAATTCAGCAGCTTTGCAAAAAGTGCAGGCATACTATGATTTAAGTCCAAATAGGTGCATGTCACCTCCGGGACTTTTCTCTAGTACTTTTATGTGACAGGTCTATTACACTCTAGGAAGATACACCCCAGCTGTGAGAAGCACACAGAGCAGCTATGCCTGCCCCCTCCCCTCTGCTGCCTATTCACAGAAGCCTTTGTAAAGGAGTTCACAGAATACAAAAGCTTCTGTGAATGGTCAGAAGGAGGGGCGAGCATAAAAGTTCCAGTGACTCTGCTCTTGAAGGAACTGAAGCCACAGTGAGCAGCTGTTATCTTCCTAGAGCACAAGAAACCTGTCAGAGGTGAATAATAGAGATAAGAATAGAGATAAGTCTACAAGGCAGCAGGTACCTTGTTAGACGTAACTCATGGCATGCCTGCGGTTTTTGCAAAGTAGCGGAATGCCTAGAATTTCAGGCAGGATTTTTTTTTTTTTTTTTTTTTTTTTAAACGTAGTTGCACTCATCCAGCATTGGAACGCTTTGCATTCACTGAGCAAACACAAATCGTTCTCTGAATAGCACCCAATGTAGCTAACCTCGAATTCAGCTTTAAATATTTTTCTCACTATGCCCCTATTGCATGGATATACACTGATCAGCCATAACTTTATTATCACTGACAGGCAAAGTGAATAACTTTGATTATCTCCTTACAATAGCATCTGAATGTGGGTGTGCCTTATTAGGCCCACCCACATTCAGATGCTATTGTAAGGAGATAAAGTTGAAGTTGAGGTGTTGAAAACAGAAAGAATGGGCAAGTGTAAAGATTTAAGTTAATATTTCAAGGGCCAAAATGTAAGACAACCAGGTCAGAGCATCTCTAAAACTGCAGCTCTTGTGTGATGTTCCAGGTCTTCAGTGGTCAGGACCTACACAAAATGGTCCAAAGAGGGAAAACCGGTAAATCAGCAGGGTAATGGGCAGACAAAGCCTCCCTGACCTGTGTAGTCTAATTCAAGAGCTACTATAGCTCAAATTGCCGAAAAAAGTTAATGCATGTTCTAATAGAAAGGTGTCAAAACACACAGTGCATTGCAGTTTGTTGTGTATGGGACTGCATAGCAGCAGACTGCTCAGGGTGCCCATGCGGGCCCGTGTCACTGCCAAAAATGCCTACAATGGGCATGTGCACATCAGAATTAGACCATGGAACAATGGAAGAAGGTGACCTGCTCAAATAAATGGCATTTTTGTTTTACATCACGTGACCTACTGCTAACAGCTTGCTGCCACATACAACAGCATACCTTCAGAGATATAGTGGAGTCCATGCCTCAATAGGTCAGGACTATTTTGGTGGCAAAAGGGGGACCTACTCAATTGTAAAAAAGGTGGTCATGTGTTGGTGGGTGGTCATATTACAGCTGATTTCTATATTCTGTCTTGGGAACCCAAACATTGATTTCAGTATCTCATCAGGACCTTTGAGGTCCTAATGCACTGGATGTTGAAGTTTAACTAGAATGTGAATGGTACTGCATTTTTTGTCTCGTATCCTTTAGTGGACTTTTCATAAGACAACACGGAGAAATCACTTTTGTTAGTGACACTCAGACACCCCAATGAGGTTAAAATTGCCAACCACATTAAAGGGTTACTAAACCCACAACAGTAAAAATCAGTCTGTATATGTAGTAAAGCATGCTTGTTATAATCACCGTGGAACCTAAGGGGTTAATCCTCTGCATTGTGTAAAAAAAACCTGTTTGATCCTGACTTCTCTGCTTCTACTCTTTTTCAAATGTCCACCTCTTATCTCTTGATAAGACAGACTGAACCGTAACCATTCTGTACATGTTCAGTTTAGTGTGTATTGCTCAGCACAGGGCCAATCAGTGCTGTCAAGACAGAGGTCAGGGATTTTGCATCCTCCTAGAGCAGAAAGAAAGCTCCTCCTACAAGCGTTAACAAGTGCTCTGCTGGACAGGGATAGAAGTCACAAGACTGTTCTAACTGCTGATGAGAAAAGGTATTTAGCAGTGTATATTTACTAAAATAATTGCACATCCACGTTCTGTGTAAGACCAGATATAGTGAATGCAGGGTTCTGGGTTTAGTAACACTTTAATAATATATATTAAAGGGTAAAAAAAGAATCTTATTTGTATGCAATACTATATGTATAGATATAGAGTACATACCTGGAATATTTGCTTTGCATAGCTGTCATCAGTCTCAATATTCACTTCCTGCAAGAAGCGCTTTAGCTCCTTAAGGCTCATCTTGTTGTCTTTATTTTTGTCTGCTTTCCGTAGACATGTGTGAATCCAACTTTTTAAAGCATTGAGGAAAAAAAGCTTAGCTTTATATTGGTAATTTCATTCTACCATATGTTGCACAGTTGAACACTGAATATTGTAGACTGTAGAGCAGCCCTAGAATACGAAGACCTTCTCATATGCAAATAATGACCACCATTACATGGTTGCTGGGTCTGGTCAACTTTCTCATATATCCCACAATTGGTTAGGGAGGCTGCACAATCATAGTGATGGGCCTGTAGTAAAGCACTGGAGGTAGGAAAGGTTTGCCAAAGCCATTGACCAAATAAGTGGTTGCCATTAACATATAAGAATGCTCAGGTTTTTCTGGGGTCCTGAGACAAATTAGAAAAAAAAAAACAACAAAGAAAAAAACCTAAAGGATGACGTATCAATTTTCTTTGAAATTGAGAGTTTATTAAAACTTCAACTGACTGATATAATGTACTGGGAATCCTGGGAACCAGCTTTATCCTGATCATGTCTTTCTGTCCAAAAGCTTGCGATCAAATACTAGGAAATGTAATAACTAGGTTAAGATTATATTATGTTTTAGGAACACTTTCAGTTACAAAGGATTTAAGTCCCTTACAGCCATGGGCCCTCACTACTATTACAATCCTGCACTGGTGTTGATTTACTGAAACTGGAGAGTGCAAAATCTGGTGCAGCTGTGTATAGTAACCAATCAGCTTCCAGTTTTTTTTTTTCCTTGAAGCTTCATTGAACAAGCTGAAGTTACAAGCGGATTGGCTACCATGCACAGCTACACCAGATTTTGCACTCTCCGGTTTTAGAATATCAACTCCACTGTGTGTAGTCTCCAAAGGGAACTGAAGTCTGCAGATGTCTCAACTCCATTCCAATGATGTGGTTGTTAGATCCCTCACTGGGTGCCGATATCTTCTGCTGCCAGGTAATAACATGACTCTCGTGCATGCAGTCACTCATCCCAGCACACAGCCACAGGGCGGAGAATGTATACAGAGTCGCACATGTGTGGCTCAATGGACATTTAATAGAATATTGCGAACTTGCTACCTGCTTGCAATTTTTTAAATGTAGGTTTAGATTCATTTTAATAAGACCCCAAGGCTTTCCTATACTTATCCATATTTGGTAGTAAATTATTTGTACCTACACTAATGTATAATGCATATTCTGTTTTTTTGCCCATATACACGTTATTTAACATGCCAAACGCTAGACAAGTTAGTAAATATAAGAGCAGCTGGTGCCTGTCTTCACCACACTAGTCTATGCCAACTAGTAATTACAAGATCTTGCTAGCTAGAGATGGTTTTGATATATATATTTATTCCGTGACCTACACCCAACTTCTATAGTCCTCTATAATTAAGGAAATATGTGTACGATAAGCCATCCACCACAAGAAGAACCTCTTACATGCCGTAGACCAGTCTGTTGTCTCGATTATAAATATTCATTATGTCACTCTAATACAGAGGCCCAGGGGTGTGTGCACACAGGTGATCGTGTATAGAACAATACATATCATAACTGTCAGGTAACTGAATTGTATACTGTGATAGGCTTGTGCACCAATATGCCTAGGGTAGGGAAAATGTACCAACAAACATTCAGTGCACTACAGAATCAATATCAGAATACACATCTCACTCCCCCTCCTCCATGGGAAGAACTCGTTTTGCCCATAATTAAAGGTTTGTTCAACCTACATCTGATACTTCTGTTCTGGATGAATGGCAGCAGGATAAACCACCCACCAAGATTTTAGATCTTTTCTTGAACTTCTATCAAGAGATGCCTTTGCCCAAAGTCTAAGTTCCAACCTCTTATTGTGAGGGAGTCTTATTCCCTTTTGTTGTATTTTACATAAATTAGATTTTGCAGGAGTTACTGGTTGTAAAACAGAATATTCTAGTGTCAGTGGACAGACCCTTTAAAATCAGGGGTTTATAACCAAGGGTTTCCAGATCCCATGTGGTTATGGGAACCAAAATGATTAAAGTATAGGACTGGATCTCTGAATATTTTAAAACAATTGATAAATACAGGATTACTGAACTGGAAAATAAAGTGTAGAAATTGATTGATGTGTCAGATGACATACAAGTAACATTGCCAGTTCCTCAATTCCATGTTTTGATTGCACAAAAAAGCTAGCTTCTGTATTTGCCTTTTTAAAAAAAAATAAACAAAATGAACTAAAAATGATGATCTTCTCTCAGCTGTTCTGTTCTATGTTAAAAGCCAAGCTATTAACATATTTTTAAGTCTCAATGATACCCAATAGGACCTGTTTGGATGATGGGGATGATTAGGATGACTGGTGGAGGGGGTATGGGGTGGGGTGGGGAGATATGCTGGGTGAAGTGTCTGAAAGCATGTATAAAAAAAGGGAAGCAGAGAGGAGAAGCTGCATTTTTTTTCTGCCATTAAGGGCTCATGTGTACAGGGCGTTTGAAAAACCCTTCTGACCGCTGGAAACTGACTGCTAGAAAGCATAGGTTAAAAAAAACATCAGTTTAGCCGTGTTTTACCTACAGCGTTTATGTACGTTTGCGTTTAGAAGCATTTTTAAAAGATAGTCATGTGGTATTTTAATAGTGAAAACCATGTGGTAATGTTTCAGTTGCCAGCGGGATTCCCCACTGACAGCTGAAAGTAAAAGAAAGAATTGCTGGCAGTTTAATAAACGGCATGGGGGTCCCCCCCCTCCCATCCATAGCAAGCCCCTCGGGTCTGGTATGGATTTTGAGGGGAAAAAAGTTGTGTGGTTCCCCCCCAAAATCCATAACAGACCCCTATCCGAGCACGCAGCCCGGCAGGTCAGGAAATGGGGGGGGGGGGCGAGAGAGTGCGAGTGCCCCCCTTTCTGAACCATACCAGGCTATATGCCCTCAACATGGGGGGTGCTTTGGGGCAGGGGGCTTATTGGAAAAACACGTGAATGAGTATGGGTACATGGTACCGCTACCCATTCACAAAAAAAAAAAAAAAAAAAAAAAAAAAAAAAGGTGTAGTGTGAAAAAGACAGGGGACATTCTTTGACAAATCCTTTATTAAAAGAAGGAAAATAAAAGAATGCCCCCCAAAGTACATCCAACGTCAATCACAATGCCCGATGCCGCTGCCGCTCCGAAAAAAAAAAAAAAAAAAAAAAAAAAGGCTCCGCACCAAATTTTACCCAAATATGTAAGGGGCAGGGCCATCACGTATGTGACCCCGCCACCATGTGACGTCAGTGACCAGCATACCCCGGCCGATGTTGCATGGGGGTGGGGTCACAAGTGATGTCACTGGATGACCCCGCCCCTTACATATTTAAGAACTGTCAAACCAGCGTAGAGGCAGACAGCCGGGGGGCCAGCGTCGGGAGTGGAGCTTTTTTTTTTTTTTTTTTTCTTGTTTGTAACGGCGGCGGGCATCATTATTGACGTTGGATCTACTTCAGAGGACATTCTTTTATTTTCCTTCTTTTAATAAAGGACTTATAAAAGATATGAGACATTCTTTGACAACACTTCAGTTTTTTTTTTGTTTTTTGTTAATGGGTAGCGGTACCATGTACCCCATTCTCATTCCGATAAGCCCCCGCCCACAGACCCCCACAACCACAGGCCAGGGTTGTGGGGACGAGGCCCTTGTCCCCATCAACATGGGGACAAGGTGCTTTTTTGGGGGGGGGGGGGGAGCTCCCACTACAAAAAAAGCACCCCTCTCATATTGAGAGCATGTGGTCTGCTATGGTTTTCTGGGCTGCATGCTCGGAAAACTATCTGGTATAGATTTTGGGGGGGACCCCCACGCCATTTTTTTTTTTTATTTTGGCGTTGGGCTTCCCCTCAAAATCCATACCAGACCCGAAGGGCTTGGTATGGATAGGAGTGGGGACCCCACGCCATTTAAATTTATATTTTAATTGCCAGAAATTCTTTAAGCTGACAGCTGAAACATTAATGCATGCTTTCACACACTACTAAAATACCGTGTGACTTGATAAAGTAACTCATGCGGTATTTTAGTAGCCTTTTTTAGTGGATTCAAATGGTTTGGTTTTTTTTTTTAAATGCTATGCGGTATTCTACTGCATGCACTGATGCAGTATGATACCGCTTATTGAATTGTGCCCTGGATATGGACCAATCAAAAAAACGCTTAAACGCGGTTACAAGCATTTTGGCATTCAAAAAAAAACGACTGTTCAACTGAAACGCATTAGTTCAGGGGCTGCTAAAAGCTCTGAACGTCAGTTTTTATGAGCTGCAGTGTAAATGAACCCTGCACCCAAAATAAGATGTGTATACTCCTTGCTGATTCTTATCAGCCTTATCCTTATCAATAATCAGCCAGCTAAAAAGCAAAAACTTATATAAAAAGGAACACCATCTGTTTGAAGAAAATTCAGTCACTGCAGACAACATAATCAAGAAAGAGAAGAAAAAAGTTCCTAAAGGGTAAGCTTTGGAACATATTACATGTTCCTGTATTTAGGGTGGAACATGTAACATGTTCCAACTCCTGCCTGCCTTGTACCCCCCCCCCCCCCCCGATTCCCCCTCCCTGTGCACGAGGGAAGACTCCCCCGCACCCGCTTCAAAATTTTAAAAGAATACAGTCATGTGGGGAGCCGCATCATTCATTCACAAGTTCTGTGAATTGATGAACTACATCTCCCATTGGTCTCTGTGTCTGTCAGCTTGCAGTTCTTAATGAACTGTGAGGGTGCTGGTGACATGGTCCATTGATGTAACAGCCTGCCCTGTACAAGGTACGGGCAGACTGCTTACGAGAGTCACAATCTTCTGATTGAGGATACAATGCTTTACAGGCTGCAGTGTTAAAAAAATCTTTTTTTTTTTAATAAAAGGTGAACTTAGTCTTTAAAAGAAGTATAAAGCCTGCCATTGTCGACATCTCATTTGGAAGATTGCTACTTGTCTGGCTGTCATGCTTATGATTTGCCTTCAACGATGTAAAAGGCAATGACTTGGGGTAAGTACAGATATAATGAATTATGATTTTTTTTTTTCCAATTTTCATTTGTTGTAAGCTTGTTCGTAGTCAGTGAAGCCAGACACAGCAAAGCAACTAGCAGCATTTTCTTTAAAGTGGTTCACCAATGGTAGCCTACATACTGCACTTTTTCTCTTGACTTAGCTATTTTGTACTGTGTAGTTCACTCCTACCTGAGTGTTCAGTAGCAAAAGGAATTGAGGTGAACATATGGTTTAGCGATTCATTGACAGAGCAAGGTATTCATTAGTGCATAGACAGATCTAATATTTCCATACAGCTAAAAAAAAATATGTAGCTGTGCAAACTGCAGAGAATTACTTTCTAAAAGAAAAAAAAAATCAAATTGTGTTGCAAGCAACATATACGCAGCGCTAGCTTTAAGGCAGAACTTTGGGCCTCTTTACCTGTCCTTGTTGGTGATTTTCACCCTTCACTGAATATGCCATTCATCTTCTGGTTCACTCAGTAGTTTCTCTGAAATAGCCTATTAATTTTCAAATCAAACCATTAATTCCCTTTGGTTTCTTGTTTGTAAGACCAGTGGCTGCTATGCCTCCAATTTCCCCCAGCTACTGGTCTTGGCACATCCCTTCTGTAGTTTTCCCCAGGAGAACTAATGTAATTCAGCAGTGGTGGGCAGACCGAGAATCTCAGACACATTCAACATGTACAGGCCTAGTGTACCCGCCCACAGTCACTACAATTGATGGGAACTATAGTTTCCTTTTACTGCGGAGAAAGAGGAGGGGATATGATATAATCCCTTTTACATCTACTCCGTGGCAGAACAGATGTGGTCATCTTTTGAACTACAGAAAATTCTATTATCCCCCCCTTCCCTAGCGGATGATGCAGGTTATAGAAACTTGCTTTGTCTAGGGGAGGATCCAAAACCTGTCGTCCCCCCCCCCCCCCCCCCCATTACCATTCTCTACTGTTCTGCAGCAGTCTGTATTCCCCCCATGAATAGGTGGGTACTCGGAGTTCACTGCATACAATGGAGGACCAGCCCCCACAGGAACTTCTGTGCAAGAGGGTACAGTTACATTTATTTATTCACATATCATCCCTTTAACAAGTCAAGCAATATATTGAGCATCAGTGGGGGAGATTAGGATTTTTTTTACCTGCCCGAAGTTGAGCTTTAGCTTTTCCTTTTTTGAAATACTGGCTTTCTGGCTGCTCTAATGATCCTCTTATTTCATGACTAAATCACCGACTTGGAACAAGTATGCACATAAGGGCGTCTGATTTTCTCCAACCTTACCGATCTGCATATTGTATCAGCTTGAGGTATTGAAGACAGAAGGTCAGCATGACAGCCAGACAATTAGAATTTGTAAAAGGTCAGTTATGACAGCCGTCAACACTTATGACAGGTTTCATTTTTAGCTTCCACAGTTTGCACAGAAATAAGTAGGCAGGCAAATCCAGGTTTGCCTTTGCATAACTAGATTTGGGGAGAACTGCAAATTAATTCATCTGTAGCACAAAATTAAAAAGCCACAGCTGACCGCACAAATAGGCAATGACCATGACACCACCAATGCTTGATGAAGCTCTTATCTTACACAAACAGCCTGTGAAAAGGATACTGCTGTAACTTCTGTTTTTTTTGGCTCATAGATCGTGAATTATTTATTATTTTATTTAAGCCTCCCATCCAGTGATTAGCTTCGTCATTACTGCTGGCTATGAGATCAAGGTTCTTGCGATGTCCCTTGAAGATGATAGAGAAGCAGAGGTCTCTCGGCACATCCTGAGCAAAACGTTTCATCCCTTCTGTCTCATGGCCCGGCCGTACATCCTCAATGTCATCAACACTGACTGTCCAAGTAAAACAGAAATGTAGTTAGAAGACAGAATAACCTGAGCTGCAATGTTCAATAAGATACAGAACACAGATACAATGTCAGCCATCCAATGTACTTGGATGTCCCTAGGCCAGTCAACAGAACTTTATATGTGTTTATTTGTATACAAATATTTGCACTTGCATGGTGTCACATGAACTTAAAGACCAAAGCTGAAGAATGACTCCAGGCAAAAATACTTTTTTTTTTCTTCTTCTGGCTCTCCGTGGAAGAGGGGGAGACTTGTCTTACAAAATGACCCAGATTTACTAAAAGTACAGAATGTCCACTGGAAAAAGTGACATTTCACTTTCTTAGTGAAGGAAATTAAACAAGAAACATGAAATTCCACTTTGTAAAGAAATCCCAATCATGTGCAAAGCAAAATGAAAACAAATGTGATTTTTGCTTGCACCTGATTGGATAATTGAAGTCAGAACAACTTAAACCTGAACTTCAAAAAAAAAAAAAAAATGTTTTGAAATACAGCACCAGCCAAATTATTTACCTCTAGTGACGAGTGTCCTATGTCCTGCTGGCTGCTTACAGTGCAAATCCCCCCTTAAGATCTCCTGGAGCACACAGTGGCGATCTTATAGTGCTGCAGAGATTAGCGGCAGCAGCTGCAACAATAAACAATCCTATTGTTTGCCCTCCTTTTCCTCTACTCTCATCCAGTCACAAAACTCCTTGAAGTATTTTCACAGAATGCATTCTTGTAAATGGACAAGGGGAGAACCTGTTGTTCATCCATCCCTCGTCTCATCTTGTCCATTCACAGAAAGCCTGGGTTTTGAGAAAGGAGGTGGAGGGTGTACAGTAATCAGCAGCTAGTAGGGCATAGAATAGTATTCGTTAGAGGAATCTTTCTTGACTGGTGCTGTATCCCAAAAATTTTTTTTACTGGAGTTCAACTTTAAGCCTATTCACTAAGCTAAGTGAAAATTCCTTTTGCAAAGAGATAATTTGCTCATACTGGTTAATGAGGTTAAAGTGACTGTAAATAACAAACATGGTATACTTACCTGCTCTGTTCAATGGTTTTGCACAGAGCATCCCTGATCCTCTCCTCTCGGGTTCCTCGCTGGTGTTCCTTGCTCCTCCCCCCTGCCGAGTACCTCCATAGCAAGGCACTTCCTACAGGGGCACTCTTGCATGCTCGCTCTCAAGCTCTGCCCCCCCCACTTTCTCCTCACTGGCTGTGATTGACAACAGCGGGAGCCATTATCTGAGCCAATGAGGAGGGGGAGACCCAGGAGAGCCTCTGCTCTCATGCACAATACTGAATCACGATCAGGCTCAGGCAAGTAATAGGGGGGCTGGATGGAGCTGCACACTTTAGAACCACTTTAAACTGTACTGATTTAAATCGTGCAATTATGTGCAAGCAAAAAAAAAATTGTTTTGTTTATTTTCCTCGTATATGATTATATATGATTATGGTTTGCAAAGTGAAGTTTCAATTTGTTCTGCCTCAATCACCAAGATAAGTGACAATTCACTTTGAACGTGAACATGCACTATGCCTTTAGTAAATCAACCCCACCGTCATGCAAACTATCATTTACACCAAGCAATACAATACAGCATCCTTCTCATTTTAAAAACATTGGCAGCACAGCACTGCCAAAAATATGCAAAGAGCACAAATAGTCTCAATTGATCAAAATTGCATTGCGGTAAAACCACAAACCATTCCAATAAGCTCTTATGGAAAATTGTCAGTACACAAGAAAATTGCTTCCGGGGTAAAAAAAGGTAAAGCTAATAAAAATTAGGCAAAGATTGGCTGATATTGGTTGCTGCCAACAACAGTTCTCTCAGACTAATAAAACCACATTATAATAATAGATATAAAGAATCCACATTAGTTGCCCAATTACTTAGTAAGTTGACAGTAATAGAAAAAGTGTCTTTCATCATGCATGCAATAAACCTAAAATATTCACAGACATGCCCAGTTTTTCATGCAGTTGCAGGAACAGTCCACTGCTGGATGTGGGGGAACGCTGTTTTTCCAGAGGTTTGAAGGGTTGGGTAAGTATAGCTTTTCCCTGCGCCCCTGGACAAAAACAAGAAGCAGTGTGGAATTCTTTTTTAATGTAATTTCCTGCATGGTAGCATTAAGCCTGGGAGAGGGGCAGCAATATAACACTGCACAGTCCCATTAATCTTACACTGTGGGCTTGCTCACAGAAAAAGGCAGCAGAGTGACTCCATGATCAATGTGACAATGCCAATTCATTGGCAAACCAGAAGACTGGGGACAGGTTGGTGAGCAGCAGATGATAGTGGTGTTGCAGATCTGGCTGCGCTATCTGGCAGGAGCATCACAAGACTGGGGTAAACAGAATAACAAATCCTTTGGCATGTACAGCGGTTTTGTTTTGTTTTTTTTTAGCAGTTCGCCTAGAGTTGAGCATTAAACCATTAAATAAGTAGTATGGCACAGCGCAATGATAATTTATCAGCCCGTGACATCAGGAGGAAATACATTTTCCAGCAGTGCTCACTATTTGATACCTTCAACATCCTCTGTTAAGAGACACGTTCTTATCCTGTCGACAGAGTATGTACTGTCTAGAGATTTGCCTGACAGGGAAAGGAGAGATTTATGTGCACATTCTTAACAGGAAAAACATTACAGAATAAAAAAGGATCACCATGAAAAATTACAACATGGACATTGGAAGAGAAACACAGATGGGGACTTGGAGGAAACGTGAACCCTCTAAACAAAGACAACCCACAGGGAAGACTATAGAGAACTCCTCACTTTACCAGCAATTCTCCCTAAAGTGGACCTGTCTTTAGCTGGAAAAATGTAAAGCAGAATGACCATGTGAAAGAAGAAGAGGAATACTCACCTTTCTGGTATCTGGTGAATTTAGTCTTCACCCTATTCAGGAGCTACAACCTCTGCTGCTATGCTACATTGTGGTAATGTAGGGATCGCTAAGAGGAACAACAGGTGGGGGAACATGTTACCCAAGAAGTGTCATATAGCAACTACAGCTATATTCTTTTACAAAGAATTTTATTATAGAATAGAGAGGAGCAGAGAATCAGTCAAAAACAGATGCATTGACCGACAGGAATAAAACATACAAGGTGTTCAATGAATATTACAGAATATGACCTACAGCTATATTCTATAAAAACAGCACAGACTTCCCTCAACACCTACTAAAAGGTGAGAATCCCTCTTCATTCTTTGCAGTTATTCTGTCCTACCTTCAGCCAGCAAGTGACAGGGTCATGTTAAAGCCCAACTCTGGGAACGTTGGATTAGGTTTCCCTACAAATAGGCTTCATGCCTCCAGTATAGAAAATGTATGAATGTTTTTTTTTTTTATTTAAATATGTAACAGATCATCTCATTGAAAACCTTATCAATATTTGACAATGTGATAAAAAGGACTCGTTTCTATCTACATTTTTAAATTATATATACCTGTGGGCAGCCATATTTGCTCATTACATATGGCAGTTATGCTTCCTGCTTAGCAGTGCTAAACAATAATTGTTGTTTACGCCTCTTTCTCATAATGCACATGAGTTGACCAACTTGCTGAAAACTATAAAAATATTAAAAAAATAAATAAAAACCTATAAAACATCGAACAGTTATTATGCCCTTTTCACACACACGGGCGAACCGATTGGGTCCCCCTGTCAGTTTTTTTAGGTGGACCCGATTGGAACCCTTTATTATCCTCTATGGAGTAGCATGTGTAAACGGACATGTGTCTTTAAGGTTGCCAACCCATCAGACATTCATCCAAAAATGCCCTCTAATGACTTCAATGCAAAATCAAGTCTCATAGATCTTCATGCAAAATCGAGTCTCATAGGTCTTCATGCAGAGTCGAGTCCACATTGACCTCAATGGAAAACCCCCCCTAGTGACTTCAATGCAAAATTGCCAACCACATTAAAGTGTTACTAAACCCACAACAGTAAAATCAGTTTGTATATGCAGTAAAGCATGCTTGTTATACTCACTGTGGAACCTAAGGGGTTAATCCTCTGCATTGTGTAAAAAGGCTGTTTGATCCTGACTTCTCTGCCCCCCCCCCCCCTCTTGTTCAAATGCCAACACTGATAAGACAAACTGAACCCATAGCCCTTCTGCACATGCTCAGTTTAGGGTGTATTGCTAGAGAGGTTTTTTTTTTTTTCTTGGGAGAGTGCATGTGATCAGCACAGGGCCAATCAGCACTGTCCAGAGGTCATCTTCCGAGAGCAGAAAGAAAACTCCTACAAGCTTTAACCAGTGCTCAGCTGAAGTCACAAGACTGCTCTAACTGCTGATGAGAAAAGGTATTTAGCAGTTTATATTTACTAAAATAATTGCATTTCCATGTTCTGTGTACTGTGGGAGACCAGATATAGTGAATGCAGGGTCCTGGGTTTAGTAATACTTTATTTAAATAAAATAAATAAATACATGAAAAACTGTCCGTTTTGGTTTTCGGCCAAGTGCATCCTGAATTTTCAGTTTCGGACCCAGAATTTTCATTCCAGTGCACCACTAATTTTTGTACATAGTAACAATGGTCCAGCTTTGACCAAGGTAACTATCCATATACCATACCTGTGGGAGCTCTGTGGAAGCTGTAGTAGATGCTACTACTCCAGTGTTCTTCACCAGCGTCCGGGTCCCAGACACAGGAGGTCAACCGCTCAGCATGGGCATCATTCATAGAGTGCTTTGCATTTATTTTCTCATTGAATGCAGAGCATTCTCTGATGGGATGAGGTGAAGATCATGACATCACCCTGCTTCTCCACTGTGACTTTGCATTCACTAAATGACACCCAAGCTGAGCGGCTGACCTCCTGTGTTCACAATGCAGCAGGAAAGCTGCTCAGCATGGGACCCAGAAGCTAGTGGAGATCACTTGAGTAGCAGTGTTTACTACAGTGATTTCCAGTTTCTAGAGCTATCTCATAGGTATTGTATATGCATAG